GCAAGGCTGAAACTTAAAGGAATTACTAGATGAGCAACTCCAAGAGTGGAGCATACAGCTTAATTTGGCTCAACAAGGGGAATTGACAGACTGAGAGCTCTTTCTTGATTCTATGGGTGGTGATGCACAATCATTCTTAGTTGTTGGAGTGATTTGTCTATTTAGTTTCTATGGGTGGTGATGCACATTCAAGAGCAGCTATAACCTGCCAATCCAAAATAGACCAATACAGAAGCTAATGATGCCTTTTGGGCCATAGTTAACCACCAGACTACCTTGATTGAACAGTGCACAAACTTGGCTAAACCTAGTAGCCACGAAGAGGGCTCTCAATCTGACGACCCTGAATTTGACCCTTCTTATGTGCCTTATTATAACAAGGGTGGACATGACGATCTCCATCAGAGTCTGTCTCTTCTATGTCTGATGATGTAGAATCAAAAAACCCTTTCAATCTTCTACAAGAGGCTCAACATCCAGATGATGATTCAATCTAGGTGTACACTAAAGGTGAGGGTCATAACATAGAACCCCACTCTCTTGAATGCCACTCTCTGAATCAACTTCAAGCTAGGCCTATCCCCTATAGCGCTCGCAAAAACAAGCAGCACTCAGACAAGCCCCTTAATGTCTAGTTAAGGACTAGAAAAGGTCCTCCCTCCCCATCTCAATGAATAAAATCAACATCCTATTCTGGAATGCTAGGGGTATTGGCAATCCTAATACCCTTGGTTATTGTAAACTTCTCATATCTACTCATAAACCTTATTTGGTTATTATCTCAGAGCCCATCGTTGATATTTCATATACCAGGAATCTCAATTTCTTTTGTTATAACTCATTTTGACTAACAAATGAATTTTGTAGAAGAATAATATGGATTCTCTGGCGTTAGGGGGTAAGTGTGTAACACATCCTTATGGGGGACTCAATGCATCTCATTTGGAGTTAATATTGGGGGACTCTGCTTCTCCTTCTTTGCAGTTTATGGCAAAGACACCATCTAGAAGAGGCAAGAACTCTAGCATCATTTGATATTAATTCAATTCCAAATTGCGGTTCCATGGATTTGGGGTGGAGATTTTAACACTATCAGATCCATTAATGAAAGAATTGGATGGGTTTTGCCTCAACCACTTTCAATGGAGGAATTTGACAAATGTCTAGATGATTGCCACATGATTTTTTCACCTACTTCAAGGGGTAAATTTACCTGGTGCAACAATATGGAAGGGCTCCAACGAACGTGGCAAGTTCTTGACATAGTTCTTCAATGAACCAATCATCTTTTTTCTTGTAGGCCCCTCGGCTTCCTTGCTGCATAGAGATTTCTCTAATCACTCCCCAATTTTAGTATCTCTGCTATGTCCTACTCAGGTCCCAAACTCTGGAGATTTCAATAGATGTGGATGATACATAATAATTTTAAGCCCCTTGTCCGGATTAGTAATGGTCTCGAGCTCCCTCTCCCTTGCTAGCCCTTCACCTCAAACTCAAAGCTCTCAGAAGTAAACTCAAACAATGGAATTGGTCCTCCTTTGGAAATATTTTTTGGCAAGTTATGGCCCTTGAATCTGAAATTAACTCTCTTGAGAGTAATCTCCAGTCTGGATGGAATCAACAAATCTATGATAAACTATTCGCATGTGAAACCCTTTGGAATGAAGCTTGCCTCTGTGAAGAGATCTTTTGGAAGTAAAAAAAAAAAAATCTAGACTCAAATGGCTCAAAGAAGGAGATGTCGACACTCATTTCTTTCATGGTTACGTTAAATGTAAACATGTACTCTCTAGACCTGAATCCATCACTGTCCCATATAATGAGACCATTCTAGGTCCTGAGGCTATGCATGAAGTGCCCATAACCTACTTCTCTTATCTCCTTAAATCTAAATGCCACTCTTGTGATGAGGAGCTCTGCTTTAGGGTGTTTACCAGCTGTCTCAACCCTTCTGCCGGCAATGCCCCCTTAGCCTTAACTGGCTGAGTCGTGTCTCTGGTGCTATTGCTTTGAAGAAATTAGAGTGCTCAAAACAAGCCTACGTGCTGTATACATTAGCATGTGATAATATCATAGGGTTTCTGTCTTATTGTGTTGGCCTTCGAGATTGGAGTAATGACTAAGAGGGATAGTCGGGTGCATTCATACCTTGTAATTAGGGTTGAAATTATTGGATTTATGAAAAATGAAAAACTATGAAAGCATTTGCCAAGGATGTTTTTGTTAGCCTTCTTGTTTTGATGATGATTTTACAAATAATTTACGACTAATATCGTTTTTAGTATTTTGTTTTGTGTTATTTAGTATACACAGGAAAATAAGCTACATTGATGTTGAAGCCTATGCAAATCAAGTCAACCAATCAAGTTCAAGCTTCATATGATTCACTCTTGGTATACTTAGTATAGGTTTATATGTATTGTGTGCAGTTCTTTAAGCTCAATATACACACACGCATATATATGTATAATTTTCTCAAAACATAGGTATTTTTATACAAATTCTTTGTTAATATGTTTTGGACTATATATACATCATAAACATCTTTTATTATGTCCATATAAATATTCCATAAGCTTTCAAAACTTGTTTTGAGTCAAAAATCAAAAATCACATGTTCTCTTAAACACGTATTTTAGTGATTTTGCAGATTACAGTGATTTTTACAAATGATAAATGGAAATTGAAAAACTCTTTTTCCAACAGGTTTGTATTCATGATCATAAACTTTTCCTAAAGTTTTACAATTTTTTTGAAAATTATTTACTATTTTTAAAAACCTCTCAAAAGTCAGATTTTGGACATGCACAATCTCTATGCATGTTCATAAGTCGACTTATCAGTACTGATAAGTCGACTTATGAACTACCCTGGAGGGTGCATTTTTTCTCGGCCAAGTCGACTTATCAGTCTTTGTAAGTCAACTTATAGCAAGTCAACTTGTGATCCCATATAAGTCGACTTATAACCTGTTTTCAGTCTGTTATTTTCCTCTGTCACGTCGACTTATGTGCACTATTAATCGACTTATAACTAGCCGTTGGCATAGTAACAGCTAGTTTCCAGCTTTGATTATTTTAATGTTTTTAACGGTTTTGGTTAGATTTTTAGGCTGGTTTCTTCAAGCCTATAAATACCATTGCTAGCCCTTGTCCGGATTGGTAATTGTCTCGAGCTCCCTCTCCCTTGCTAGCCCTTCACCTCAAACTCAAAGCTCTCAGAAGTAAACTCAAACAATGAAATTGGTCCTACTTTGGAAATATTTTTTAGCAAGTTATGGCCCTTGAATTTGAAATTAGCTCTCTTAAGAGTAATCTCCAGTCTGGATGGAATCAACAAATCTATGATAAACTATTCGCATGTAAAACCCTTTGGAATGAAGCTTGCCTCTGTGAAGAGATCTTTTGGAAGTAAAAAATCTAGACTCAAATGGCTCAAAGAAGGAGATGTCGGCACTCATTTCTTTCATGGTTACATTAAATGTAAACATGTACTCTCTAGACCTGAATCCATCACTGTCCCAGATAATGAGACCATTCTAGGTCCTGAGGCTATGCATGAAGTGCCCATAACCTACTTCTCTTATCTCCTCAAATCTAAAAGCCACTCTTGTGATGAGGAGCTCTAATCTATAGTTCCTTGTCTAATCAATGACGATACAAATTCCATGATTCTTAGTCCATTCATTATGTTGGAAATCCACTTGGCTATATTCTCTATTCGTACAGACAGTGTAGCTCGAATTGATGGATTCTCAGCTGCTTTTTTCACCTCTATGAGGGAGCTAGTTTGTCAACCCCTTCTTGCATGTGCTTCTATCCTATAAACATCTGCAACCTTCTTTAACCCATACCATTCTAGTACTGGCTCCAAAAATACTCCTGGTGCTTGGCCTTACTAATCCTAGACTTATCAGTCTTTGCACTATGGTGCACAAAATTTTGGCCAAAGCTATTTGTGCTAGACTTGCACTCATTTTGCCTTCTCTAATCTCTACTAAGGGGCTTTTGTGAGAAGTAGAATATCATTAACAACATTTCTCTTGCCCATGAAATTACTAAATAAATTGATAAAAAAAATCTGAATACCCAAACATCATTGTTAATTTTAGATATGGAAAACGCCTATGATAGGTTGGAATGAGATTTTCTAGGGTCCATTCTCCATAGATTTGGTTTTTCCTCTGAGTGGATTTTCTAGGGTCCATTCTCCATTCTCCAAGTCTATTCATACTGGATGAGGAAATTCTTTCCTTAGGATTCTCTCACTTTATTCATCCCTTAGCTGGATACCCTAGCTAATTGTCCATCTCATTTTTTTTCTTAGTGGATGATGTGATTATCTTCCACAACTCAGCCAAGTCATCCCTTATTAGATTTCTGCATCTCCTAGATAGATACCAAACTTCCTCTGGGCAGAGCTCAATTTATATAGTAGCCACTTTTACCTATCAAAGCCTCTCTTTCTTGGGTGAGAGTGGTTAAGAAAATCCTAAATTTTTGTAGGAGAAAGTTTCCTATTAAATACTTCGGAGTCCATATTGGCCATGGACAATGTAAAATCTATTTATATTAGACTATCATTGATAGGATTAGAAATATTGCAAACTTGGCAAACCAAGCTCCTTACTAAAGCATGCAGAATGGTTCTTATTAGACATGTTTTATGTAGCATGCCCCTATATCTGTTTTCAGACATTTCGGTTCTTATCTCTGTGCTATAAAAAAATTGAATAGATGTTTGCTAAGTTTTTCTAGGTATCTTCTGAGTTTGGTGGTAGAAAATATTAGGTTAAATGACATAAATTATGTTACCCTGCTTCTAAACGTGGTTTAGGATTCGGAAGGCTCATTGACATAAAAAAAAGCTCTGCTAATGAAACAATGTTAATCTCCATGTTCATCATCCTCGATATGGGCTTCATTCATGAGGTCCAAATACAAGTTATCAATCTCTCCTCTCCGTTGGGTAGGCCCTCAAAGATATTCTAAGGAATGGAAATACATATTGGTAGTTAAATAATGCTTGCAAATCGTTGTGTTTGGTCTACTAGTGGTAGCAATATATCATTTTGGTATGATAGATGGATTCCTGAGTTTCACCTTGTTCTTCATTGTGATAATGAGAATAATGAGGTTAAACTTAAGGAATACTGCCATGATAATCAATGGCATTTTGATGAGCTTAGTCCCTCTCTTGGTCCTGAAGTGGTGCATCTCTTGTATGAGGTCATCCCCAAGATAATGGAAGATGATGACTTGAGACACTGGTCACCTGAAAAAAATGGTAAATTCTCACTCAAATTTGCATGGAATACTATCAGATCCTCCATTGCTTCTATTCCTATCCCGACTGAATTTGGGAATTTGTTATGCCCAATTCTGCTAAACTAGTATGTTGAAGAATTTTTCATAATATCTTACCTATTGATTCTATAGCTCAACATATGGGTATATCCTTAGCATCCTAGTGTATCTACTGTAGCAACCATGAAGTTGAAACCATTGACCAACTTTTCATTCATAGTGAGCTTGCTATTTCTTTATGAAAGTTTTTCAATGCTATATTTATGGTTTCATTTTTCCGCAACAATCTATTTTTGCTAGAATAAAATTATGGTTTCTAAAATGGAAAGGAAAATCTCATTTCTCTATAATGGTAGAATGAGTTTTATTGCTAAAAAGACAAATTTATAGCTACAAAAATAATAGTGTATATGCTAGTATGGATAAAAAATTCCTACATGCTAGACTGGTGGTTATTGGTGCCCTTCAACACTTAAATCATTTAGTTCAACCCAAATTACATTCCACTAAATTTGGGATTTATTCTTTGTTGCGATTGGGTATCAAGCATAGAGCCTCTATTCCTAAATGACCTATCTATGGTTTGCACACTTCCCACCATTAAATCATATGCATTAAATGTTGACGGCTCATGTTGTGATGGTCATATGGCGGTAGGTGGGATTGTTCGTGACCAGGATGATGGCCTAGCCTATGCTTTTGCTCATTCTGTTGGGTCTAATAACAGCTTGCAAAATGAGATCCATGCTCTACAAACAGAAGCTAACTTGATTTCAGTGATGAATGTTTGCCCGACCAATGCTCAGATGTATTCCAAAGCTTGTGCAACATGCTTGGGGGGTACCGGTTCATTCTGGCAGATGCATCACAGATGGAAGGATCTTCAATGACTTCTTCACATTTCAATCTACCATATCTACCGAGAGGGAATGGGGTGGTGGATGCACTATCTAAGTAAGGCCATTCTCATGAGGTCCTTAGACTCATTTGGTTGGATTGGATGGGGCTTTCATTAGTTAGAATTTCTTCATCAGTTTGATCATCAATTAGACTCATGTATTCTCTCCTCCTTGCTTTATTGTATTCTTATTTTGCAATTTTGTTCAAGGGAAATATTTTGGTTGTGCCCATATTTTGCTTTTATATCATGTACAAAGTGATGGATGACTCACTTCTTTAGAAGTGTAGGCTGTCTAAAAGTTACTGTAGATAGCTGATCCCCATCGAACACCAGCAATGGAAGTTACAACCTGACGACTTCCATATCAACAACTTGGCTATGAGAGTTACAATCACACGACTTTCACGTTAACAAACAAAGGCTACAATTGGAATATTTTCACGTACATCGAGAAAAGTTATAATTTGATGACCTTCACGACAACTGATGAAAGCTTTGATTCAACAGTCTTCACAATCAACAACGGGAGTTTTAATCTGACGACTCTCATATTTCAAAGAGTTAAAGTGAAGATTACAAAATGACGATTTTTGTAATGCTCTGACAAAAGAGATTACAAGTCAACAATATATTCAATCCAAAACGCAGAGCTCACTTCTGTGTTCCAAGAACAAAATGCAAGATTCAGCCTTATGTTCCCAGTTTCGAATGCGGTACGATCGCTGTGTTCTCAGCCGCCAATGCAAATCTCAACTCTATGTTCCAATTCCAGAATGTAGAGTTCATGCTAGAATGCCAGATCAGCGTTTGACTTGTTCAAATACACCTGAACGGTTCCAGAATCTTATTTGTACGAATTGAGGGGATCACTCCCCCACGTAGGAGCAAATTAAGGGGGAGGTTAAACCCCTTAATCCCCTATAAATATCTAAAAACTCAACCGAGTTCGGGATCTAAAATTTTAGAGATCAAAAGGCACTTTTGGAGGAGAAGATTGGCATTCATCCTTTAATAACCGAGAGCATCTTCGAGTTCAGCAACAGATAGCTTAGATCTTAGCTTGAAACCGATTTTGATTAAACGAATTAACTCCTTTACAGAATTTTAAACTCGCTCTGAGTTCTTAAACTCTTTAAGAGTTATTTTTCAAACTTGCCATACAAGTTCTCCTCAACGTCAATCAAGAGAAAGATATCGTGTTCCAACGAGGTGAAGCATTCGGATCGTTAACGGGATACAAGAATCTGAACTCCCATCAACACCAAGAAGAACCTAGTTTTAAACAAAAGGAAGGATCTCCGTCGATTCCTTCCTTCTTTTGTAAATCAGGATACAAATAGAGAAGAGTTATAATTCTTTTTTCTAAGTCAGTTAGAGGGAGATTACTGTGAGAGATTGTATTCATTCTTTTCCTAAGTTAGTTAGGGAGATTAATACGAATTTTATTCTCATTTCTTATTCAATTTTCCTACATACAAAAGATGACGACTCCGCTGGGGACTAGCTTCACAGATGAAAAAGTGGTGGCACAATCCGATGTTAATCTTGCTGGAACAACGATCGAGACTCTCGTCGTGGAGTTCGATCAAGCCAAGTATAAGGAAGCATTTTCCTCCGGAGCCCTTAGTCCCAAGGCTATGTGTAAGGTCCGCACGGTCACCAACAAGACCAAAGCTCCATCCATTGCTGAATCATCAAGGGAGGCCCTCCCCTTTGGTCAAGACTGCTCGAACAGCCCCTCCTCTGAAGGAGTGGGCTCAGCTTTTGCTGGACTTGTCAATCGAGTCAATGATCTTACACCCGCACTAAAGCGACGGGTATCGAGTCATAAAAGGCCCATTGCGGCGAGAAGGTCCATCAACGAAGATGACCTCACTACAAAGGCCTTAAAACAGGCCAAGAAGAATGCTGGTCGACGGAGGAGAAGATCCTTATGATGAGCATATCTCCAAGAGATCCGATCTCTCAATCAACGCAAACTCCACGTTTGTGAGCCTCAACCTGAGCGTTGTGTTTCTGCTTCAGAATGCAAGCCTCATGTTGATGAGCCCAAGTACGACCACGCGTGATCAACCTAAAACGTAGCCCTCAAGGGCACGTTCCAAAATCAAAACGTAGTCCTCAGGGATGCATTTCAACAACTGAACGTGGTCCTCAGGAACACGTTCAAACATCAGAACGCAATCCCTAAGGATGTGTTTCTACATCAAAAAGCAACCCTCAGGGGAGTGTTTCCAAAATAGAACGCAACTCTCAGGAGTGTGTTCTAGACCCAAAACGTAGATCTCAGGACTGCGTTTACCAGCCATAACACAACCCTCAAGGGTGCATTTCCCCAATAAAATGCAGACTTTGGTCTAGCGTTAATCAAACTAAATATGACCATTGTGTTCCTTCTTCAAGACATGATGTGATTCATCGTGTTAGAAAAGATCAACATGGATTTAAGATTCATGTTTGCCAAGAACCAGTCCTGCCTACTAACGGACGGGGAGGTTCCAAATCTGTAGAACCCCGTAAATTTGAATTAATATGTGATAATTTCAAATAATATGTGATTAATTGAGATAAGTGGATATTTATCGTGATAAATATCATTAGATAGTGTATGAGTATGATAGCAAGTGTTTTGAGTGCAAACAGGTCTGTAGATGTGATAGAATCAAGTAGAAACAAGCACAGATGGCCAAACTACACAAACTGTTTGTGCACTGGCCGGTCGACCGCCGCACCAGGCACGATCGACCGCCAATCGTATTTCCAGTTTCCTGATTTCAATTGGAAACAAATATTTTTAGGCCCATGTCCACTTCTATGTTATAAATACCTCTTGAACACAAATTATTTTCATCTTAGTTCAGATTATTAAAACCCTAACAGCCACCAAACCCTTTTTTAAATCCTAGATATTTTTTTGTAAGAGTTTAAGAGTTTTTGATGCGGGATTTCGATTTGGATTTGGTGTGTGGCTTAGGGATCTATCTTGGCTTTGCATCTTTTAGATTTTCAACAAGTTTTTAGGTGAGTTTCATCTCTGCTAACCCTACTCCCATGTTTTTAAGTGTTTTAATGAGAATTAATGTGGTTTTATTGAGCCTAATCAACTATTTTGAGTATAAAAATATTTCTTTCGTAATATATAAGATAAAGATCAGATCTTTTCGTGTTTTGATGATTATAAATGAATTTTTTAGACGTGGTTAAGATCTAAAATTATTTAAACAAGAGCTTTAAGTTAGTTTTGATGATTCTATCGACTTTTTGATGTTTTCATGCATGTTTAGGATTTATATGTAATATTTAATGTCGTGATTCTTGTTTCATGTGTTGAAAAATCTTTAGAGATGTTATATGTAATATTTAATGTCGTGATTCTTGTTTCATGTGTTAAAAAAAATCTTTAGAGATGTTAATTTAATATTTGAAACATTCTATACAAGTTTTATAATGAGTTAAACAAGTTAGAATCATGAAGCACACACAAGCATGATCTGTGTAAGTTATATTATGATGTTTATGGTCTGTTAAACACCTGAGGTGTATGTGAACACAAGATATTGTAAGTTATATTATGATGTTTATGGTCTGTTAAACACCTGAGGTGTATGTGAACACAAGATATAGGTTCACACATTGAGATACGTGCATTTATGGTCTGTTAAACACCTGAGGTGTATGTGAACACAAGATATAGGTTCACACATTGAGATACGTGCATGAACACTTGAATACATGTTTTGAAATTAAGTATGCATGCAGAGTTGAGATGCATAACACATAATTGAGTTGATAGTTGTTGGCATAACACATGATAATGCATAACCAATCTATTAGGGATGCTCAGTGTAAACGTTTATCCCATAATGAGACCTTGGTTGTACCACACTAGGAGTATTTGGACGTTTTACTATAGTGAGACCTCGGCGGTACCAATACTCGAAGATAATCGAGGTCTTTCCAGATTGGGCTAATATGCCTTTATTCCGTTGTACGATCATCTAGATGCATCATCTAGAATAGGGATGATAAAACCTATTACCGTACAACGATTGAGTAAGGACGTTGAATCCATATGATATTATGAGAACCTTACAAGAGTATCATTATGTGATAAAGACATATATACATAGTTGTAGTTTGCTCCCATGTTAGATTACCCGAGAGTAGGGTACACATTGGATACATAGCATATATGGTTTGGTCTATGGTGATGTTTCAGCTGGATGATATTTCCTTATGAGTACGCCAACTACCTGAGGGTAGTTCGAGATATGATATTGGCTCTATATAGTTGATGTTTGGAGTATTTTTTCTTTTATGTACTGCTTTCATTCATAGGTTTGGAATTGGTATTTATCGATTCACAATTTGAGACATGGTATATACATGAGAGTTTCCTTGTTTGCATTATTTTGCTCGACGTACTAAATCTCGTGTTGTGGGTTTCTAAATACCAGTCTTCATTTAGAGTTATATGGATGATTTATATATATATGTACTAACAGTATTTTTTTATATACTCATGTAGGATGTCTAAAATTACTGCAGATAACTGATCCCCATCAAACACCAAGGATGGAAGTTATAATTTGACGGCTTTCAGAAAGCAACAATTCAAAAACTTTTACGTAGATCGATGACGGTTACAATCTGACAACCTTCACAATAATCGATAAAAGCTCTAATTCAATAGTCTTCACAATCAACATCAGGAGTTGCAATCTGATGACTCTCATATTTTCACGGAGCCAAGATGAAGGTTACAAGATGACAATCTTTGTAACACTCAAACCAAAGAGACTATAAATTGACGGTCTCTTCAAATCAAAATGCAAGTGACCTCGTTTTAGAGTCAAAGCAATGCCAAACACAGCTTATAAACAGCTGCTAAACGCAGCTCCTGAGCTATCAACACAACTTCCAAAATTGCTACTAAATGTAGCTCTCGAGCTACCAACGCAACTTACAAAGTGCTACCAAACGTAGCCTATAAACTGCTACCAACACAGTTTCCAAAATCTGCGTTTGAGCTTACAGACGTTGCGTTCGAGCTTCCAGACGTTGCGTTCGAGCTTCCAGATATTGCATTTGAGTGCTGAATTCATGCCAGAACGCGGATTTCGCGTTTGACTCGTTCAAATACGAGATGATTGGTTTTCAAAACTGTTTTCCTATAATTTGAGGGATTTTCGCCTG